TATGACTGCAGTTTACCTTTGGTCTCTGTTGTCTTCCTATGTGAGGAACTTCATCAGAGTCTGCACTCTCATTAACAAAAGGCCACTGTGTTTATTAAAAACTGTCCATGTAAATTCTTCATGATGAACTCAAGACAGGAAGAAAAACTTCTAGCTCCAGTTTTTGTTAAGTTCTTCAATTTATTGTGTTAAGTTAGAAAAACACAGAGCTATTGCTTAGCAACACTGGATTAAACAGAAAATAATGTAAGCTCCCAAATGAGAAACATTTGTAATCGAATATGCTCTAACACTTGCTTTACCGCATGGCTTAGCACCCTTCTGCTCACACATGGTTAAACACATGTTGGAGCTGATGTTTTAACACCCGCCTCACATTTTTACACTCTTTGTCCACATATGCTAGAACACATGCTTTGACACTCCATAGGCACTGGGGCGGGGGGCACAGACACGGGCAACATTTTGTCTGGGGTCTCTTTTTCCAGAGGTTCATTGGTTAGTAGCATTCAGTCAAAGATCAGTGCCTTATTAATAAAGTGACAGCTCTTTGTGTAGGTGACACTCACACTTGTTTCTTTAGTCTGCCTGGAGAAAAGAGACTTATGCTGGAGATAGCCACAGCCATGTGTTCTGTCTAGTACGCTGCCCACCAGAACCCCCTCGGGTATTTCATCAGCAGATGTGTCGTGTCCCACAGCGTTGGTGTGCACCTTAGGCATTCCACATGTATTTTCCTAAACCACCCAACTGTTAAGCCTTACTTTTGCCCAGATATAGAATTGAAAAAGGCTTCCATCTTAGTGACTGACTTAAATTCTCTGTCTTACTTGGTAATTTCAGCACAGGCATCAGCTACTGTCACTTCCAGCAAGGGGAGTGTCTCCTTGCTCTGACTGCATAAACCTGCCATCCCTTGGTGTCACAGTCAGTTGGGGAAGAATATAACTGATTAGGTAACTTAAAAGAACAAATATGGGGGCTGGAGAGATGGCTCAGTGGTTAAGAACACTGGTTGTTCTTGCAGAAGACTCGAGTTCGAATCCCAGCACCCACATGGCAGCTAACAACTGTCCATAACTCCAGTTCCAGGGGATCCGATGGTCTCTTCTGTCCTTCATGGGCATTGCACGACACGGGTGCACTTACCTACATGCAGGCAATACACACATACACATAAAATAAAATAATAAAATTTTTTTTAAAAGAACAATATTTATTTCACATAGTTCTGGAGTTAGGAAATGCAAGGTTAAGCTGCTGGCAGATACAGTGTCCGGAAGGGCCCACTTCCTAGTTTACTTCCTAGTGTCCGGAAGGCCCACTTCCTAGTGTACTAGTTTACTTCCTAGTGTCCGGAAGGCCCACTTCCTAGTGTACTACTTTACTTCCTACTGTCCGGAAGGGCCCGCTTCCTAGTGTACTAGTTTACTTCCTACTGTCCGGAAGGGCCCACTTCCTAGTTTACTAGTTTACTTCCTACTGTCCGGAAGTCCCACTTCCTAGTTTACTAGTTTACTATCTACTGTCCGGAAGGGCCCACTTCCTAGGTTACTAGTTTATGTCCTAGTGTCCGGAAGGCCCACTTCCTAGTGTACTAGTTTACTTCCTACTGTCCAGAAGGCCCACTTCCTGGTGTACAAATACATGTCTTCCCATCTTTGCACAGAAGACAGCAGAGTAGACAGTAGCTCTTGATTCAAGTAAAATAAAATGGTGACCACAACCAAAGTTTAAATGGTACTTTACAACTTCTAAGATGCTCTGTTTCTTTTCCAATCCCTACCAGAACACTGGGAAGTAAATCATATTTTCCATTTTATAGATTAGCATACTAAGACCCAGATATCTTCAGAACGCTCCTAAAAAATCACATATCTAGTAAGCAATGAGATTAGATGCTCAATACTGGTCCCCTCACATCTAAAGACTTTTCCAGAAATAACCTTTCCTATCAAGGAGTCTACAGAGGAGGAAAGACACAATGCAAAGCAATGCCCATTAGTGGGAGGCCTCTGAGTCAATCTAACTCAAGTCACCTTATATTGGATGTCTCCCTTAATCTTCCCCACATCCCATTTGACAGGTGAGGAAACTAAGGCCTTAAGTCATAGTAAATTTGCTCAAGTCAAAGAACTAATAAGTAGCAGGGCTCCAGTTTAAATGCAAGCCTGGTTCAAAATAAAACCCATACTTTTAGCCATTACTCATATTGGCTCCCCACCAACAACAATAAATGATTTCATAGACAAACCACAGCAATTGTATAAGGCAGTTTGGGATAAAATATATTGGTCCCCTAATCATTCTTGGTTATAATGGTTTGTGATTGGATTTTTCCATTTTTAATATTGTAAAGTGAATAAATTTAATGAGAAGAAAAGTTGTAGGTCTTATGTGAGGGCGTCTGTAAATGAAGCCCAAGCTTAATCTGTGCTTCTTAATGACAGAGCCACAAAATACACTGTCCTGACTAAACATTTGTGCAAATTCTGTTTTACAGGTACCTTGAGCTTGCAATTATTCCAAACATAGGAATCATTTATATGTATATGCTCTGAGTTTCCAAGGAGTATTAATGAATGTTAAATTAAATTATTTAAAAATAAATTCTACCTTATTGACTGGGCCCTAAAATGTCAAAATTGAGCAAATTGTATCAAGAATGATAACCTGAGTTTGGCCAGTCAGAATGGCCTTTTTCTTAATTGCACATTAATTACTTGAGCTGCCTTCATAACTGGCCTTGAAGATAACTTAAAGGCGACTGAAATGCTTGAACTCACTTTCCATGTTCAATTGGTTTGGATCCAGATGCAGAGACCAACAGTCAGACCATTTAATCACACAATAAGATCAGCCAGGAATAGCAACCCTTGGATGCCTGACTTGTAGATGTAAGCAGGAATTAGTGATTACTTCGAATGACTGGAAGATCCCAGAGGGAAATCTGGGGGTTCTTCACTCTGTTTTGCCCTGAAAATAGAATTTTTAATACAAATACCTGGCAACATCAAAAAGCAGGTGCAGATTTGGAATACATAAAGCCTTGCTTTGGTTTCTTTGTATTTTCAACTGAATTTCCCTATTTTGAGGTTCAAGATCAAATCATTGCATTTTTAACATAGACTTTGCCAAATTTCCAAACCTCTAAGCACAGTATCCTCAGCCTTCATTTCTTCTCTTGCCTGGAAGTCTAGGTAGCACTGAGCCAAAATCTGAAGTTATGAAGTGAGATTATACTTGATTAGGAACCAAAAAAAGTCCTAGGTCCAGAAATGCAGATGTGCATAATGTCCTGGGGGAATGTTGGTATTTGATCTCTAAGTCTTAAAGGTTCATGTTCCCAAGGTTAAGAAATGCAGAGAGCCAACTTTTGTTAGTAACTAATGCTGAAATTACTCTGGAGATTCTAGAAGTATTACATTACAAATCACTCAGCTTTGGAAATCCTACAGCTAGTGAGTTACAAACATCACTACAGGAGAGAAAGGGGCAGTATGTAAAGGACATCATTCATAAACTGAATTTATACCATTGCAGCAGATTGTGGATATGGTGTGAGGGTTTTCATCCCAGTGAAATAAGAATAAGGTCTTTGAGTCAAAACTCCAGCCAGAAGAACCAGGAAGCCAAGGCCTCCATGTCTAGGGGGATTTGGGAAAGGACAGGAATGCAATAGTCCATCTTGAGTTGTAATAGCATCTGCTTTTCTAATATTGAACTTCATGACCTGGGCAAGTTGTTTATGTATTGAGCAAGGCTTCCACTTTAGGAAAGGTAAAGCCTATGTATTTATTACACAGTGTCCTATCAACAAATATGGCCCTTGTGGGGAAACACCAAAAAGAGACAACAGGCATTGCACCTCAAGAGAAAATATTTGTGTTTTCTAGTTCAAATATAAAGTAATGGGTTTCCATTCATGTATCTCATTATACTTTGTTAGTGTTCCTCCCCTTCCTTCCCTGCCCTCACCCATCTCCTGCTTCCCTCTTGATGAGCCCCTTCCTCAAAGGGGAGAACTTTTTTTTAATGTATATGGGTGTTATGCCTACATGTATGTAAGTGTGTCCGTGTCATGCAATGCCCACAGAGGACAGAAGAGGATCTCAGAGCTCCTCGAACTGGAGTTATGGATGGGTGTTAACCACCGTGTGGGGGCTGTGATTTGAATCCTGGTCTTCTGCAAGAGCAGCCAGTGTGCTTAACCACTGAGCCATCTCTCCAGCCCTTTTATAGAACCAAATCCAGTGTCAAAATGAAGTCTAGTTAGAGCACTCATACATCACACAGCTGCTGTGTAAGCTGTATTTCTGTAGTACACACTTTAGTGATATATACCAACTGACAGGACTTCCTTTTCGGCTAGACTCTTCCTATTTTAAACCTAACCGTGATTTGGTTTTTCCCTTGCAAAATCAAGACTTTAATTCCAGCAACAAAGAATGAGAAGATAAATTTGTGTTGGTTACAGAAGTGAGCTGATACAGATAGATTTATACCTCTTATACTTCTGATCAATGATGTCTGTTACTCAATGTGTTTGAGTCTATTGTGAGGTTGATCTGGCCTTGGTATGTGTTGGTGTTTTCTTCAGAAATGAAATCCATTAAGCCATCACGGAGATTGGTTTTTGGTGGTCTTTTTATTTATTTGTTTTTTAGGTTTTGTTTTGTTTTTTGAGTATAGCCAGATGGCATGGAACTTGCCATGTAGACCTCGCTGGCCTCATTCTCACAGAGATCTATCCCCCTCTGCCTCCCAAGTACTGGGATTAAAGGTGTGCACCACCACACTTGACCCATCATGGTTTTTGTTTGTTTGTTTTTGTTGTTGTTTTTTAATTTTATGTGTATGAGTGTATTGCCTACATGTATGTGAGTATACCAGTGTCCTGCAATGCCAGGAGGTCAAAAGAAGGCTTCGGATTCCCCTGGAACTGGAGTTAAGGATGGTTCATAGCCACCATATGGGTGCTGGGAATTGAACCTGGGTCCTTTGCAAGAGCAGTCAGTGCTCTTAACCGCTGAACCATCTCTCCAGCCCCAACCCATCATGTTTTTAAGAAGAGTTTAAGGAGAACAGAATGTATGATCTTAAAAATACTTCTAAAATGTAGAATGTAATGCCTGGCATATATAATCAATGTACTATATATATATATAATTATAAATGTATGATGCAGCTTTAATGGACAACATAGAGGTAAAATACAGGAAAATGAAATCACGCATACATATTATTTACATCACTCCAGTAATTCAAATTCAGGCCATGGTGTCTGAACTTTGCTGCTTCTCTCATTTTCTCGAGTGACATTGATCAGATCTTAGTTTTTGATAGACACACTGTAGAGAAAAGAAGTAAGCATTATTTAGGTAACTCAAAAGTAGCTTGCCAAAACTGATAATGAGAGTTGTTCAAAGTATTCCGTCAAAAATCCCTTCCAATTAGCATTGAGGTCTTGAAGGGCCAGCATTAGATTTTTATTAATATGTTAGGTTTATTACTGTATTTTTGATATATGCATCACGTGGCTGTCTAATGTATTGCATAATATTGTAGAATCATGGTATTTTTAATTTGATACATCCAGATCTGTTCTTCAACCATATTTAAAATTCAGAATTTTTTATAGTTTCATAACTAATAACTCATTAGTAAGCTGTGCCATTTACTTGAGGTTACCTCGAAGGCAATCCATATTTAATGGTAAAGTAGAGAGATTCTTGCCTACTTGACTATCATTGACCAGTTTAAATATTTAAAGTTATCATTTGACCCTTTGTCTAACCACTTATAGAAAATGAAATAACTTGTGTACAAAATAGGAGAAAACATTTTTTCAAGTAGTTTTTTCTAAATTAAGAAAACTTGTGTTAGGAGTGATCAAATACGATAGATAGATAGATAGATAGATAGATAGATAGATAGATAGATAGATAGATAGATGAATGATAGATGATAGATAGATAGATGAATGATAGATAGATGATAGATAGAGAGAGATAGATAATCTTCATGATGACTATATTATTTAAGTAAAGGATCCATTTTTTTTCATGTTATTTTTCATCATCACATAGAAATATAAGCATGTCATTTACAGTGATCAAATTCAGGTTCATTGTTAAGCATCATAATAATTTTACATTCTTATCTTTTCTATTACAGCTTTAAAAAGAACCTTTGACTCATTTCTGTGTTCTGCTCTGAATGATAAGAAATTGACACTATTTTTAATATCTTGCTTTACTTAGACACTATTCTTTTTAATGCTTTGCTTTACCCAGATAAATGAACATAGTCAAAAATTATAATGGTGTGACCCCTTGTATGTTATTTCTGCCTTGTCTTACTATCTAGAAAGTCATTGGATGACCTTAAAACTAAACCAGCATGATACTTTGGCTCTAGTAGTGTGTCTGATTACATCTGTTCCATGTCTACATGACGCAAATGGTGCCTGGTCCAGCAAGATGCAAAGATGGTGGTGTGGGAGATACCTCATATGAGGTCATGAGACCTTCAGGAGCTACTTGAGATTCTGTATTGGGCAGGGTTCTTAGATTCACAGGCATGGCATCATCTCCCTCATTTAAGGAGAAGGAAGTGTTTAGACTGTGTTCCACGGAGCTTCCTCTCATCGCATTCACTTTACAAGTTTTTTTTTATTTTATTTATTATTTTTATTTTATGTGTATGAGTCTATTGCCTGCATGTGTGTAAGTGCACCCATATTGTGCAATGCCTGCGGAATCCGAAGAGGGTATTAGATTCCCCTGGAAATGGAGCTACAGATGGTTGTTAGCTAGCCACCTCTTAACTGATGAGCCATCTATCCAGCCCTCACTTTACAAGTTTTACACAAGTATCTACTTGGCAGAACCCAACCTGCGATCTAGAATGTGGTTCCAAAAAAATCTTAGAAACGTAATTCTTAGCTTTCTAGCCTGTCTGTCAAAGGAAGCTGCTTAAAGCAATCAGAATTGCTGTGGAATGAGCCAATACATGCAACCTTCACAGAAGCATCAAGCAGTGATTCTCAAGCTGGGTTCCCCTGAACCCTGAAATTGCACCCACCCACTTAAAGATTGTTGAGGACGACGAAAGAGACACAACGGCTTCATGAAGAACTGGCAGCTCCACTTTCATCTTGCCATCCGTTCTGTAGGTCTGTAATTGTTGGGGGCGGCGATATTCTTCTGTTGTGCTTTCTGCTTGCAGTGCCTCTGTGTGTGTGTGTGTGTGTGTGTGTGAGAGAGAGAGAGAGAGAGAGAGAGAGAGAGAGAGAGAGAGAGAGTCTTAAAGTTACTGCTTTTCCTATTAGGCAGGTTATCAGAAATAAAGACTAGGATTTATTTCCGCAACAAGCTTTTTAACAGAACACCATCACTTTCCTAGCCAGTCATTGCAAATGATTACAAAGTAATCTCATCTCTCACATGTGTAGTTAGAGAGAGTGCTGCTAAGAGGCCTGTTCATGTTAGGGCTTCTAATGTGAAGTCGCCACCTCCTGAGAACATGCCTTTGAGTTGTTTCAAAGCCTTTCCAACATCTTCTCAGGAAACCTCTGCAGTGAAGGGCAACCCTGTCATCATAGCCATGGGGTAAAGGGACTGGACACATTTAATTACTCTTCAGCTACTTTATTTCATTTGACTTCAAAAACAAAATTAGCAGTAGCAGAAGACAGTGGTTACATGGGGTTAAGTTAATCAGCGTGTGCTAATTAAATAACTGTTGTGCCTCGCCATTAAGCCCTGTTTCAGATGGCACAGAGCTCTTAGCAAGTCTTACCTACTTCGGCCTTTGTACTTTCAGTATTTTACCACAGACCAGATTAAAGGAAAACAATCTCTAAATTAAGGAGGTAGACAGAATTGAACATCTCTAAAATCCCAAAATCTGGACTGAGGAGATGCCTCGGTCTCTAAACTACTTGTTGCGCAAACATGAGGACCTGAGTTCAATACCCAGAACCCACATAAAAATGCCAGGCACAGTGGCATGTACTATAATCCCAGCACCAAAAAGACAGGCAGATCCCTGAGGCTCAGCGGTCAGGCTTGCCTTACTCAGTGGGTTCTCGGCCATCAAGAGACCCTATCTCAAAACACAAAGTGTATGGCTCCTGAGGAATGACACCCAGTTGCCCTCTGGTCTCGATGTGTATACACATACACACACACACACACACACACACACACACACACACAGTCCAAAATGTTCTAAAATCCAAGACATTTTGAGCACCTGTGTTATATATTCAAAAGGTTTCAAGTTTGAGATTTTCACATTACAGTTGTTCATCCAATAAGTCTATGCAAATATTGCAAGATCCAAAACTCTCACAATTCTAAAACACTTTTGGTCCCAAGCATTTTGGATAAGGGATACTCGACTTTATCTGCACACATTTGGTCCCTGTGGAAGAGTTTGGGTGGCTTTTCTCACCATTTCTGTGGAGCATTTCCCACTATACCCTGTATGGTATGGCCATATCTAAACCAAAGCTGCTTACCTGCACTGAAGAAACCTGGGCTTTTGTTCCCACCCTGACGCTTTGTCATGTTTTGTGTATCTTCAGTACACCCTGTCTTCTCCCTCCCCTACCCGCTCCACCCCCTGTGTACTCAAGAGAGCCTGCCATGTTCTTACCGCCTGTCTCTTATTTTTCTTGTTCTCACGGGGAGGTGTTTGTTGTATTTGTTTTTTGTTTGTTTTCTTTTTGTTTTTGTAGTGGTCTTTGCAGTATTAGGGCCAGCTACAGGGTAAGTAAACTCTTTACAACTAAGCTACATCCACAGTTCTCTGTCACAGTTTTCTCATACAGAAACGTGGCAAGTGTGTTAAAGTATTTGTAATAAAAAAGAAATATAAAACAAACATTTAAACCCTATTGCTTTCTTACTATTGGATATTTTCAAAATTCAGGGAGACGCAAAAAAACAAGATAAAACTCCCTTTTTAGTCTCATTCCAGTTTGATCGTTAGCAGTTTTGGTTGTATTCATTCCTGTTTTTCTGTGCATATTCTACATGCAAATAATTGAATGTTTTATTGGCTTTTAAGTTTGGGAAACCTGTCTGTGACTTACTCTGACTCTGAATAAGAATTTTAAAGTTGTTCTAACCTGGCAGAGGATGTATTTTAACATGACAGCATCTTCCTGAGTTATTTATTTGAAATTGGCCATAAACTGTACAAGTCTATTTGGGTCACATAATTTTGCGTTTTCCTTTTTTTGTTACCCTCGGCTGTAAAACATCAAACCAAAATTAGCAACGTGTTTCTTGGTTGCACTCTCTAGAGTATGTAGCCAAATCGTCTCACCCTTGTTCTTGGGGACGTTCGAGGCACATGTTGATAGCGTTCTTCATTGCAAAGAAAACAAGGGGATCTTCACTTTTTTTTACTTGGGAAGTGAACCATAACAACTCATTGCTTCTTTCCACTGGTGGGTCCATCCTTCCACTGGGCCAGCCAGCTTGACAAAGTGTGCAGTCTCACATGCAAAGCAGAATAATTCTGTGGGGCCAAAAATAGGGTATTTGTATGAATGTGAATTGCTTGAAATAAAATAAACCTGAAACATCTGCATTTTGAAAAGCCTTGGGCCTCCACCATGCACTGGAATGCCATATCCAGACTTTATACTTGAGTATAGTTTAAGTTCAATAACAGATTTACGTGAACAAGTTACGTTGATGACAAGGATTCATGTAAACTTGAGGATGTTTGGTTGAATAGTTCAATTGGTTTTCATGTGAGATCTTGTATATTCTTACACAGAAACTGCTTCCTGAAGTGATAAAAGTAGAGACATTTATCTCTAATGTTTTATACTGTGCCAACTACCTCTTTGACAAGCTTCTTTTCTTTAGTTCTTATCAGAGGCATTTCCATAGAGATGTGCTGCACATACTAATTGAAACATTAAGCAATATTAAAGAGCCACCAAATATTCTAAATAAAAAACTGAAGAAATTTTCCCATGATATGGCATATTTCACATATTTCCACCACTTGGCAACCCAGTTTCCGATGACCAGTATATCCATAAATGCTGCTTGTATTTAAACAAAGATGGAATTCCATTGTTCACATATGCATTATGTAGCCATGCTTGTTTGCTGTGAGCATTTCCCCTTGGCATTAAATACTGCTGGAAAGCTATTTAATCCTTATACAGTTTATCTCCTAAGAATGTGAAGAGCCCTGATCAGTTCATGGAGAGAAGCCCATAGTGAGCAGATTTGTGCTGTTGCCACAGTGGACAGGGGTTGATCTGGTTGATCTTTTTTTTTGGTCTTTTTGAGACAGGGTCTCCCAGTAGCCCCAGCTGCCCTGGAACTCACTATGTAGACCAGGCTGGCCTTGAAGTCACAGATATCTGCCTGTCTCTGCCTCCCGAGTGCTGGGATTAATAAGGCATGCTCCCATGGTTGATCTTTGTAGTTAGTTTCCTAGGACTCAGCCTGGGAAGGATGATAAGACAGCCTTAGCACATGTCTCTCCTCACTGGCATTGTGAGTGCCCATCTCTCTAGTATATACCGTCATTCATTCATCTCACTCACTGTCTTCCATAAAATTCCTGACTGTTCTCTGCTGTCATTTCCACACTCACCATTGTTCCTATTGATTCTCTCTCCCTCTCCCTCTCCCTCTCCCTCTCTCTCTCTCTCTCTCTCTCTCTCTCTCCCTCTCTCTTTTTCTCTCTCTCTCCCTCTCTTTTTTAATCCATAGTCTTACTATGTTGCTCTGGCTTGCTTAGAACTCTCTATATAGAGCAGGCAGACCTCAAACTCACACAGATCCGCCTGCCTGTGCCTCCCAAGTTCTGGGATTAAAGGTGTGTGCCGCTGCACCTGGCATTGATTCTCTTTCTTATGTGTTTCCTCTTTTGTTAGTTTCTAGTTGATTCACTGACAGGTTCAGAAAGGACTAGAAAGTTGAAATCCTATAATAGTATAAATAAAAGTGTACGTAGAAGCCAGGTGTGATGGCACCTACCTAGAATCCAAGCACTCAGGAGGCTAAGGCAGGAGGGTCATGACAACCAGGCCAGCCTAGGCTACGTAGCAATATTCTGTCTTGGGGGGAAAAAACTAGTCTATAGATGAAATTTTTTTCTCCCTATTCGTAGTGCCCATAACAGTGTCTGTCTTCAGCCAGAGCTGCTCTCTGGTACTGATGCTGTGCGCAGGCCACTGCTGCTCCCGCAGCCCCTTCTGTGGTATGGTCTTTCCCTCCACAACCACCTTTCTCTCTTCACCTGAACCCAGCCCTGTCCAAACTCCATCTTATTCCTGAGATAAGCCCCTTGCTTTTATCTCACTGTTGCTAGTCCTCCTGCCAGGATGTCTTACCTTCCTCTCTTCCCCATCAAAAGCTTGCCCACTGCAGCTCCATGTCTGTATGCTACAATCCCAAAGGAGGAGGTATCGCAGTGTCCAGATTCCTCTGACAAGCTAGACTCTGCATCGCGTTGATTTACTGCTCCTGAGATACATCTAGTATGCCTTGAATTTTAGTCTTTTCAATATCTGTCCTATTTACCTTGCTACACAGCAAGCCCCTTGGGAACAAGTAATATGTCTTTCACATTTGAATCTTGAAAAGTACTTGGCACAGCCCCCTGCACATAGAGGGTACTTTGTAAATGTGAGTCCATGAGAGACTTTGATCCTCGGGGTTGAAACCATGGCTTCTGTCCCTCCTGCTGTCTATATATCATGCCCATTGGCAGTATTGCAGAGTAAGTTTTTAAGTTATAGGTGGTTTATATGAAAGCATAGTATGATCTGACTTGGTTATATTTATAAGCAGTGTTCAGGGAGAAGCCAGTTTCAAGTTGGAGTTTACTCTGAGCTCATGTTATTGCCCGATTTTTTCCCAAAGCAGGAATATAACACATCTTGGAGAGTCATGAGTCATGTGCTGTGTTCTGATTTCCAGTCTTCCTCTGCTTCATTACCTCTGTTTTGTTGTTCTTTTGTGATTGCGTCCATGAGACCTTGGCTTTCGGTATAATATTACATTGCAAATCAAATTTCACCTCAAAAGAACTTTTCTTCCACCATTTTCTGCATTCCTGTACAGGTTACCAAATGTCACAATTCAGTAGAGCCAATTATTAGATTTTTATTTAATGGGCAGTTTTAATGTTCTCAGAGAATCTGAATACTAATAGCATTTTAAACTCCTGCTTTCCATTTACAGACTCACAACCCATTCTTCTCTTTGTGAGCACACCTAGTTATATTTTGGGGTATCATTAAATTCAGGTTCCCAATCTGTAGAAAAATCAATGAGCTAATGAATAGGCTTCGTTTTTAAACTTTTAAAATATTTTATCCTAATTATAGGGCGTATCTGGTGACATTAATTTGATGAAATCCCAAATCATCTGATTGTGCAGAATAGTCCTTTCTGAGGAGTAACTGAGAACGTTTGCAGTTTAACAAGTGTACTGTGTTTAGGACCAGAGCATGGCCTTGCTTCCTGAGACAAAAACTTTCTACTGTTAAGGTTTGCTGACCACATCAATGTAGTTGAACTTCAGGCTTGTATCATAGTTGTGCCTGTTAGTATGTTTTGTTTAGCTCATTAAATGCAAAGCATTCCCTTCACTAGTAATCACCCCAAGCGTTTTTATATGGTAAATCACTCTCACATGCACTGTTACCAGGCCTAGTGAATTTCAAGGTCACTCTTTGACTGTACAGTGAAGTTAATGGCAAAGCCAGTGCAGGAACCAGAGGTGGCTAAGTCCAAGACCAGTAACCTTCCACACATGACTGGTGTGTGCTCATGTAAACCACTTTGAATCCTATGAAGAACAAGATGGAGAAAAAGCCAACAAAATGATTACTGTTTAAGTCGTTTATTTTCTACTACATGGTCCATAGCTCATGCACCATCTCCTGGGGCAACAGCAGAAAATGAACTCTCTCACCAGATCAAGGATGCAGCTTGGGAGAAACCTACCTAACAGGCATTGTTTTGGTTTTTCCCATAGTCTAGTCACCACTATATGGTTTTGCTCCTCATTCTACTTTATCCTAATCGGTTCTCTGTTCTCCAGCTGAGGACACCTGACATGTATAGTCTCAAGGAAACAGAAAGGAGAGGCTTTGCTCGTTGGCTCCCTACAGTTGCCCAGTAAGATCAGTCATATTTGGATGGATGACCAAGTTAGACATGAAACCCAGGTCTCCTCATTCACAGTCTCCTCTTTCTGTTGATGACCCACACACCGCACTCTTACTCAGATCCCTCCTTTCTGCCTAGGGGTCTTCATTCTTCCACCCGTCCATCCTTTTAATGTTTTAAAAGTCACATTATATTGGACTGACTAGACAGTAACTTAAAGTTCTATTTTTGAAATTTCCATTTATTGAACCCATACAGAAATCAGGCAGGGTCCTCACATGTATATTCACTAAAAGTTCATGATTATGAAGGCGTGAAAATCCACATCTCCCTGGAAGTGCTTCCTTCTTAAGAATTTGTTTCTCCACTGGGCCACAGTCTTACTCAACAACTCTCTGTGCACTAAATTATATAATCCAGCTATGTGATACAAATTATTAATGGGAAGGAGGGAGGGAAGGAGGAAGGGAGGGGGGAGAGAGAGAGAGAGAGAGAGAGAGAGAGAGAGAGAGAGAGAGAGAGAGAGAGAGAGAGAGAGAGAGAGAACAAAGGGAGGATAGGATGCCAGGGGGCTTTCTACCCTAAAGAACCTTTGATGATGTATAGCACAGGTCCAGTGAAGGAAATTGTGCATCATGACATACTTGCCCACTCTGATTTTCCACTTCCACTCCCTCTAAATATGTGAACTGATCTGCTTGTTTCCAGTGGAGACTGGTGCAGGTTCAAAGATTTTGATTACATAACATCTCATTGTGCCATATGCAGATTTAATGGATCCAGGCTGTCAGGATGTGCTCTGCTGTGGTTGTTTTTAAATTCAAGGTGGCAGATACTGAGCACCTTCAAAACTGCATGGAGTAAAAGCTGATGCAAGTGTGCAAAAGCCTCGAAACCAAGCCCCAGAAGGATGGAAGCCTATGGCACTGATGTCCTGCCTCCTGAGTCCTCTTGGACCTGTAGTGCCTGATATCCAGTCTCTGTCCCAGCTTTAGGGAGACCCTGTATATGTTTCGATGTATACTGAAACTGCTTAGAATGGCCCCCACTAAACCTGTTGGTTTTGAAGCTTGGCCCATGGTTCAGGGAAATTGTCTCTGCCTCCTCACTAATTCTTGTCTCTCACCATAGTGCTGTGCACAGCAACCCAGGAGGACACTGGTGCTCTCATAAAATGAAGGCTTCTTATTCTGCCCTCTTAGTGATCTAAAAGCCAGGGCTTTCCTTCTCAGTTTCATAACTGAAGATATTATCATTGATTACTGTCTTTCTCTTAATTGCCATTTATTTTAAGAGTACTTAAATATTAATTGCTAGGTAATCACTATCTCATTTGGTTTCATTTAACCTTCAGAGAAAATTCATAAGAGG